TTTCTATGTTATGTTCATGTTTATGTTCATAAACTTTTTATTTAATAAAATATGTTTTCATAGTTTGTGTTGTCCCTTATTATCAATGCAAAATGGTCACTAACTAAAGAGGATTTATGCTGATATTGCCCAAAAACCCTATTTTGTTCAGGCGTTTCCAAACTTTTGGAGGGCAGTGTATGTAGGTATGTATGTATGTATATCTTTCTCTTAATTGCTTTTTCTGCCTGTTCATCTAACTTTTCACTTCTTCAGCTATTTATCTGTCTCTCTACCTCTATATCTGTCCATCTTTCTCTCTGCTTCTGTCTCTGACTATCTGTCCATCTATCTGTCTGTCCATTTATCTCTGTCTCTCTGTGGTTGTTTATCTGTCTGTCTGTGCATTAATCTATTCATCTGTCCATCTACTTGTCTGACCAGTAGATAGATAGACATCTGTCTGTCTATCTATTATATAGATATCTATTTCTCTCTCTCTTAATCTGTTTGTCGGTCTACCTGTTCATCTGTCTGTCTGTCTTTCTTGGTAGGTCTGTGTGCTCTCTCTCTCCCTCAGGGCTGGTTAGCAGTAGACACCCTCTATTTTTTTTTTTTTAATGCATGGTTGTACCTTTAAAACTCATGTGTGTGGTTGATTCCTGGCCTGGGACCTCGTCCTCAGGGGCTGGAATGTCAAATTCCAGTTTATTCCCAGCTGCACACAATGAGCAATTTATTAATACAACCTTCACAGCTTTGTGTAATACAGTGTATCAGTGATGTGCAGTATTACTGTCTTACTCCTTGCGTCGATGTTATATTCCTTTTCTATGGAGACGAGCTCACCCTCTCCCTGCAAATAGAAATCAGAGCCACCATTAACGGAGTTCTGAAGATGAAATGTATATCTGAACCTCGTTCATCTGATTAATAGAGATTGAGTGTAAAGGTTTTCAGACATGACATTACCAACACTTTGAGCTCTTTCTGTATCTTATCATGGATATTGTGTGAGGCATAAGCCAGAATGCTGATAGGGATGTTCCCGATGATCAGAGGCACCACGGTGAAATACACGGCCTTGGCAGACTGGGGCTCCACCGTGACCTCCTGAATGACATCTCCTGCGCCTGCACTGCACAGCCCCGCCACCTTCTCCATCTTCACCATGACCTGAGATAAAGTGACGGTTGACAGGCGAGTGATTGAACATATTCACTGAAAAAAAACCTGTGAGATTCTAATCTGATGTAGAGCCACATTACGACTGAAAACGTCACGGCTGAATCGCTACACAAACCTGTACACTTGCACACGCACACGTTAAAAAAACTAAACAAAAAGAACAACAAAAAGAAATGCTTTTTAAAAAAGTTTACTAAGAAGATAAAAACAAAACAAGAGGGCCTTTTTATACTTTTAACTAGAAAAGTATTAAAAGTTTATTATATTTTACTTGCTATTAAAATAAGAAAGAAATGATTTATTTAAAATTGCACCTCATGTTCTGACCCCTCCAACTTAAAAAAAAAAAAAAATGTAATTTAATTTTACTTTTATTATTTTTAAAGAAATTTTATTATTTTAGAATTTTATTAAAAAAGGAAATAATAAAATAGTTTAAAAAGGGATCAACTTAAAAAACATAAAATTAATTATTATTTATATATGCAATATATATATATATATATATATATATATATATATATATATATATATATATATAAATAATTTTTAAACTAACAGTAATTGATTTTTGTAAAATTATGGTTTTGCTAGATGGAATTGTCCATCAAATCAAACGCTGTGTGTTTTCTTTTTCTTTCTTTCTTTTCCCTTTACAATTAATAACAGCTTGGCCCACTTTTTTTTTTGCTGTTTTGAGAAAGAAAACAACGCTTTATGATGACATTGACGTCTGGCCAATTTCTATTTCTGATGTTTAAAAAAAAACTGTATCACATCTCAGTGGCTATTACACACAATACATGTGCAGTTATGAAATAAAAATCTCATTATGAGATGAAAAGGGGCATTATGAAATATGAAGTAGTCGTTTGAAGAAAAAAAAAAAAGCCATTTTGAAACAAACCTGTTATTAAGGAATAAAAACGAACTGCAGTGTGACAATGTCATTGTGAAAACGAGTATGATGAAATTATATTGTACAATAATGAGTTCAGTATTATTTAGTTAATGACACACACACATTCATTGCTGCATTTACTCATTTTGGGAGTCACCAGGGACACTTTAAACAGCAGACTGCATCGGATCCTTCTCAAAGACGCTTGTGCTGTGAACATTACCTGTGAACATTACCTGTGAACATTACCTGTAATCTCCGTTGCTTGTAGTTGAACACAACGGCTTTCACCTCGATCTGCTCGTTCCTCTTCACTGAATATGGCAGTTTAACGGATATGAAAAAGTCCTGGAAGACCTTCAGTGGCTGTGGGTCTGCTATGCAAAATCCTGAAGGATTGTAATTGTAGCAGAAATGAATTCATTTAAATGTGAATGGAATGGCTCTGACTTTATAAAGGCTGGCAGAGTCGTAGCTGGTTACCTTTTGTTGGAGATATAGCCACAGCTTGAACCTCCCATGTGGTTATGGAGTCAGGAGCAACTGCAGAATGCCTGAAATTGTTCAGCGGCAAAAGAAAAGAAACCATCCAAGGGTAAATTCATGTACTGTATGTATAACAACGCTGTTAAATACTTGATTCTGATGAAAGGTACATTTCTATAGTCACACACACACGGACTTGTTTTGTAGTCGCTCAACATACAAGGATTAAAAAAACATGTAATCATTGTTATGCTTAAGGCTTTAGTAAGGAGAAGGAGTTATTTAATTATTTAAGAAGGAGTCTCCAGTGTCAGAGTTTTTTTTTTAAATTTTGCTGCACAAATAGTTAGCTTTGTAATGGTAATGGTAGTGGTAGCTCAGTGGTTAAGACCTTGGGCTACTACTTAGAAGGTCATGAGTTCAATCCCCAGCACCACCAATCTACCACTGGTGGGCCTTTGAGCAAGGCCCTTAATGCTCAGGTGTGTAAACGAGATAAATGTAAGTCGCTCTGGATAAGGATGTCTGCCATAAACGTAATGTATCCATATTAGTGACAATACACTAACCCTATTAGGAATTAAACGTATTAACATTCTACAAAGCACAGTAAGCCATCATTTTAGCTCTGATGTGTGAGGTACCTGATGTTGCCTGAAGCATCTGCATCTAAAATCTGCCACATCCACGACTGAGGAAAGAAACTGCGGAGGTAAACGGAGACTTCATCGATGTCATCCTCTGCTATTCTACTGCTGTATGCTTCGTGGAAAGAAGGAGAGGAAAGAAACCTGAGTGTCCTTCAATATCTGTATTACACTCTCTTAAACTGCAGTGTTCAGACAGGAAATCAGAGGCTATCTTTAATCTAACAGCAAGAGGAACATGTTCAGGATTGATTTTCAAAATTGATTTTCAGTTTCAATACCTGTCCACTTCCTCATGCTCATTTCTAGGGATCATGGAGAAAATAAACAGGACTTTTTTTGTTTATCTTTTTCTTTGACATATGGGCTTATTACTCAGTCTCTACAGATCTGAGAAAGGATCATGCAAAATCCATTCATTACTGAGATTAAAATGTGAATGCTTTTAAATTCTTGCTTCTGGTTGGTCAGTAGGTGTTGATTCATTTCCTCTTTCAGCAGCTCTGCCAAGTTCAAGCTGGAATGTTTCTATTAATGTGAAGTACCATGTATGCATAAATTAAAAAAATACCTTAATAATGTGTTTTCATTCATGGAATCTTTATGCAAATTGTTGAGAGATGCTGTGCAAAAAATCTTTAAAAATTACTGTACTTCTTCCTAAGCTGCTTTTCCATCTGTTCAATTTGTCCTTCTTCCTCTTAGCCGTTGCAGCCTCGCAGCACTTTTTGAAAGCTTGCTGGCAGCTCTGTGACTGATGCGTGATGTACTTCATCCTCTTATCACATGATATTAACATCAGTCCGTTCTTCCTTCCATCTTCACAGCACTTCCTGTCTGCATGCTTGTAGCTGTTAACTGAATATACCACAACTTTAAATTAAATTCTTTATATTATAAGCAATGTTCTGTCTTATATACATTTATTTTATGATGACTGTACAAGATTCAGCCCTGTAATTTATCAGACACTTTAACTGTCTTTGCAGATATTGAAGGCCCAGATGCTTTCTGGGATATTACCGAGTGCGTTGAGGTCTCTCTTGTGTCTTTGATGGTCTTTGAAGCATTTATGCTCTAATCAGGACAGAGAAGAAAATGTATTAAAACACAACAATGCCCGTAACTGCACAGATTCAGTGCGTTTGTTCATTGTTCTTGAGCTTATTACTTGCAGCTATAACTGGTTCTGCTGCACAGTTACAGATGAACGTGAGTCCTGCGGTTTCCAGGACGGACTTGGAATTTTCTCCTCCGCCTACAGAGCAGGCCAGATCATACGAATTCATGTACTCGAACATCTGCAAGAAGGTCAGTGTCATTGAATTTCATTCCTTAATTCTTTAGACAACTCAAATATTATCTTCCACACATTTTTCCTAGGTGGACTTTTTGCATATAGCGTTTTCATGTGTTTTTTTTTTTCTCACCTCATTGTTTCACCTGATTAATTTATTTTCACTCGTTCATTTTTCATATGCAGGACATGTGATCACATGTTATTCACATGATGTCACATGCTTACCTGAATACACCTTCATATGCTTTTCGCGTGTGATCACACATTACTCACACAATCACATGTGAAAAACATAATTCCTATGTAAAATACATTTTACGTAATGAAACTAGGTATGAGTGTTCAATATTATATTTTTATACTGAGTAGAGGAGAGAATAGCTGCTGCCCTGTGTCGAGCTAGCCTTGAGATATAGCCATCATTAACGTTGATACAGCGAACGTAATTGCAATTCGCTGTGATATCGCATAATAAACCTACTGGGTTTTTGACAATAGTATTAAATATTATGGTAAATATTATTATACGGGCTATACATCTTGTTAGGCTGTCATTAAGGCTGTACCTTTTGAGGACTCAGTTTGCCCTTTTTGTTGAGGATGTACACAGCTGAATCCACTGCACTCAGTGCCACCTTACTGTCTGAATCAGTCCTGATTGACACCTCAAAATCCTGTGCAGGTTTCAGTTCACTGAAAGGAACTATTTCTACCTGAAAAAAAAAAAAAACAATGTTAGGCTCCTTAATTGTTTTTCGTAATTAAACTAAAGGATTCGTGTGAAGCCATAGGCAGAGAGGATCCAGTGATAAAAATGTATCTTGTCCTAAAGGAACACTATGATGGCTTCTGCTACCTTTCCTCTGCACACATCTTTCACATCCACCCACACGGAGTCAGCCACTATTCTGTCAGCTTGTGTGTAATAGTAGGCCACCAGGCGGAACGCGGGCACCATATCCACAGAGAAAGGCAGGTGTATGGAGGTCAGATCAGTCCTCTGCACGCTGCCTGCCTTCAGCACTCTGCCCTTACTCACAACCTGGAGAGAGAGAAAACATCAACAACTGTACAGCACTGCTGACATCACGTATCGTATGCAAGGAATAACGCACAACCGCGCATGCTGATTTAAGAAAGTAATCCATTAAGGGCCTTAAATCCATTCATTTAATTTGATTTCCATTTGGGCTTTTTCTATTTGCGCTCCATTTGTGGATCATCTGCAGAGTATGTTAGTTCCTGCTTTCCTTAAAAGCTCTGGAAAATCTGAGTTATTACTGAACGTGTGACAGGCCAGTGTTAATTAATCATAAAATATAAGAGATGATGGTGATGAAAATGATGATGATGATGATGATGATGATGATTATTATTATTATTGTTATTATGTCACCTTTTAAGATTTTGTTTTTCTCAAAATATAGTCAACAAAACCAGTCAGATACACGTGTGAAACTGGAAACTGGATATCTTATTATTATTATTATTATTATTATTATTATTATTATTATTATTATTATTATATAAACATACTGTATATAACATACTGTATATACTGTACTCCGTTTGTTACAATGAAATTGAAATATGTGGCAGACTTGTTTGAAATCTTGTAGCATAATGAGCATTTGCACAGGGCCCAGGAATTGGTGGAACAGTGCTGATCTTTACCGCCCCCTGCTGTCTGTGAGAGAAATCACAGCTTACAAGCCTTCCCCTTCTGATCCCACCCCCTCTACTGAACCTACATATGACTTCTGGAATACCTTTTATGGCAAAGGGGTTGAGCTTTGTTCTGGAAACACTTTAAAAAGTTACAAACTGCAACTTTAAACGAAGAAAGAACTTAAAACACTCTGACGTATGAGGCTCATAACAATGTGAAGTTTATAACTATTTACCAGGTAATAGATATGCGAGGGTCTTGCACTAGCAGCTCCTGTGATGTCCCTGAATGTGACTTGCAGGCTTTGCCCAGGGTTGAGGACCTGATGCTGCACTTCCACACTCAGGTAACTGCCACCTTCATCCTTAATTGCTGTGGACCTAATCTTAGCATCACTGATGATGACTTCTTCATCATCCCCCTGCGCTTGCACCTGCCAGAGACATAAAAAGGCCTTGTTGATGCACTGATGTGTTAGTTATTGGGACAAAACACTTGTTAATATCTCTTGGAGTCTGTGAAGCAGTGTGTTCAAGAATAGCAAATCATGCAAGGGTTGAACTCTTTGCATGTTTGTTATTGTTACCGTTATAGAGATTTGCTTAGCCTGCTGTGGGACTTGGAATGTGATGGCTATGTTTCCACTATTATCCCCAGTGCTCTCCTTAGTCTGAGTCATTTCATCTATAGTCACATCGGCCTTTATTTTCAAATGAGGGACTCTGGAGCCGTCTGGGAAGCTGGTGGTGCCCTGCAGCATAGCACAAGACAGGTCTGATTTATAAATATAAAAGTCATGTCAAGTACACCACAGCAATTTGTGAACGATTGCATTTTTTTTATTAAAGAAAAACACATGGTACTTTTGATCCTTTTATAGGTACATTTATTGTTGTGGAATAGCCACAAGACAAGTTAGTTATTGCTTATGATATAACAGCTATAAACATTCGGTCCCTCACCAGTCTGTGTTTTTTTTTTCTCTCTCTCTTTTGAAATTAATAAGAAAAAAAAATGATTCAGCTTGTCATGATACCAAAAAACAACAAAGTTTAAGTTCAGGAAAGTCCTCTGTCCTAAAGACTTTCCCATGTCAGAAAAGGCACTGACACTGGAGGCTCCTTCCAAAAATGCAAAATACATATCTCCTGGCAGAAAACGTCACAATATCAAGAATTACACACAGAATCTGCCATCCAGGTACTTGTGTAGGTTATTACTGTATGTAAAAGCTAACACTTTAGAATGATCATATTAATAGAAACCTTTACAGCCAAAATAGTGTCAGAGCTGCTGTTATAGAAAAACACCTCCTGACCAATCAGAACTGGGAATTCAACAAATCTGTGGTGTAATATTGTTAGATATGTTTTAGATAGGATCTTATTGTTATTATTATTATTATTATTATTATTACTACTACATCTACGTTATAATGATAGATATTATATATATATATATATATATGTTTCCTCTGTATTAAGTTGTTTTATCTTGTTTGCCCTAGTATCTGTATAAGAATACAGTAACTCAGTAGCTCTTCTCTCTGATGGCATGTAGTAGCCTGGTTTTAAATACATACCAGAATAGAGAAAATGCCCCCAGGAGAGAAATACTTCTTTGTCCTTGACAAATCGATGACAAACGGAGAGGTCACAATCTTCACCGAGGAGCTCTCTGCTTCCTCTAGATCTCCACCTGCATGAGACACACACACGCGCACACACACAGAGCACAGCAAGTTTTAAACAGCAGAACAGTATGTATGATTAATCTTCTCACTATGTGGGACTCACTTGCTTTTTCCAGAACAGTAGCAGCGA